TCAAAAGGTCCTTTCCACTACAGGGTGAGTTTGTTGTTGTCTGTGGGTAATAGAACTAAGACCTATGCTTGAAATGTCAATCGTGGACTTTTTGTCATAGAAGTGCATCTGAATGCCTTAAGCTGCATACAAACTCTAGAGCGAGTTGACAGGTCTCCTCCAGTCGGTTTCCCAGGTCTAACATACTGGTATATGTTCTTCACTTCTGACTATTCTTATCCTGTCCACAGTTCTTTCAATATCTGCATCAGACCTCATACTGTTCTTCCATACAGTAACTCAAAGAGTGAAAATCTTGTACTTGTTTGTGGAGCTTCTCAGTAAACAAATAATACTGGCTGCAGGTACCAATCCAAGTCATGTGGTCTCTCCTAGCACATCTTCTATAGCATGCTCTTTAAGACTCCATTAACTCTCTCACAAAGTCTATTACATCTGGGGTGGTAAAGAGCTTCCTAGCACTGATGAATCTGTTCACCACTTGCATCAGTTCTGAGGTAAACTGAGTCCTTCTGTCACTCAAGACATCTTTTGGAAAGCCTACTCTACAGAACACTTCCAGAAGGGCTTCTGCTACTCTCTCTGTCTCTATCTTCAGAAGTGCTATGGCTTCTGGGTAATGTGGCACATAGTCAACTACTGTCAGAACGTACCAGGTGCCCTGTATCAGATACAGGTGCTAGTGGTTTGACCAAGTCCACAGCTACTCTGCTGAATAACTCTTCTATGAGAGGCATCTTACCCAGTGCCACCTTGGCTACCTTTCTTTTAGGTATTATCCTTTGGTGGATGTCACATGACCTGCAGAATCTGGTCACATCTCCAATGACCCCTGGCCAATGAAAGTTGCTGGTGATTCTGTCTGCCATCTTCTTTGCTCCTGGGTGTCCTCCCATAATAAAAGATTTGCCAGTCTTTTAAAACTATCTTCACACTTAGCCATGTCAGTTCATCTTGTGAAGTATCACCATACATGTGCCACGAATTGATATACAGTTTCTCCAGTGTCAGGTTTGACTTCTCTGAACTTCCAACAAAAACCTTCTTCGGTAAGTTCATAGCATTTCAGCAAGGACACTTTTAACTTGTTATAGTCCATGGCATACACTTGTAGGCATTTTCCTGTGAGAAAGGGCTGAGACAGACTGCCCAGTTATCTTTGTCCCAGTTCTGACTTTGGGCAAATCTTTCATACCTCTCCAGGAAAGGATTCATGTCATCTATCTGTTCATCAAATTTGGGCAACTTGGGTCAGCTGATCCTGACCAGTGTTCTCTCTAAGCTACATGGCTGCATAGCCTCACAACAATGAATCAAATACCATACACTTTATTACTCCAGCTGCACACATCCTCAGTAATGGTGAGGAGTCTCAACATGTTGACAGCCTTAATGACCTTGGCAGTCAATAGGCTTAGAGCTCAAATAACCAACTGGTAGCATTGGAAATCAGTCTAACGATCCAATAGAGTCAGTGGTCTAAAAATATCCCCCCCACAAAAAATAATAACTAGTATCGAACAACCACATGTTGCCTTGATACTGGTGCACGTGAAAAAATTCATCCCACACATGGACTGATAAAATTAGAGGGAACATTGGTCCTGACACCATTGTCATTCGTGGATCCTCAGTTTTTCTGTTGAGTGAGCTTGGTGATCTCAATTTGTGCTCTTATTCTCTTTACTTCCAGTCTCTCCTTCTCTTCTTTCCACTTTTCTCTTTCATTTTCTATTCTATCACTAGTTTTTCTTCTTCTTCTTCTTCTAGTTAAATAAACTCTCATAGATCACCATCTTTGAGCCCAAGTTGCTCGTTCCTCTTTATTCACTTATCAAAGTCAGTCGACATGGTTATGTAGTGTGATTGTGATCTCTACAATATTTTCACCACAGCTACAGCTGTAAATCCTAGCTGTCTCGCCAATGTCAGGTTTTAGGTATGGGCCAGATTTCTTACAATAGGTCTTTGTAGCTTTTGGCAGTAAATTTCAACAAGAAACAAAGGGCATGCAGTCCACTTGTTTAAAAATAATATCTTAAAACAAGTCAAATGTATATATAAATGTTCATTACATATCACAGTTGTATCCAGAGCTTTAAATAAATCTCAGTTACTTTAGAACACAATATGACAAGATAAATTATTCATCTCTGCTCTGTTATTAGAATAAAATCAGTGGTAATTTCACTTTAAAAATCAACACTATACACTCTTTTTGATTAAACTCACAATCAAGCAGGCTAGATCTGACTAACTATCTATCTAACTCACTCAAACTACATTTTGGACATGTATTTCAAGAGGCCTAGAACGTTCTACACAGAACAAGATATTATGATACAATAATACTCGATTAAAACAATGAGAAAAACTTAAAAGGTTCTAGTAACATGACACAATAATACAACAAACTCCAATTCACAACTACTGAACTATATAATGTTTGATTTGTAAACAGTTACATGAACAAACCTGTGATAAACTATCACTTCTACAAATAAGTAAATTTAACACTTATGCTATACTTAAACTACAAAATATATGCAAGATAATGTATGTGGGTTATCATAATTTGAATGGGAATAACCTTAACAGTGTTATGAAAGAAAGGGATTTTGGTGTTATAGTTGATCAGTCTCTTAAGCTATCCAATTATTGTGTTGTTGCTAGTGGTAGGGCAACTAGGATTTTGGGTTATATCTACAGAAATATTTGATACAAGTCTAAAGAGGCTATAATTTCATTTTATAGATCACTGGTTAGGCCACATTTTGGGTATTGTTTTTACTCTTTGGCTCCTTACCTTAGGAAGGACATTGAATTGTTGGAAAAGGTTCAAAGGAAGGCTACTAGAATGGTACTTGGGATGAGGGGAGATGTCATATGAGGACAGGTTAATATCTCTGAAATTATTTTCTCTTGAAAGAGAAGAGCTAGAGGGATCTGATTGAGGTGTTTAAGATTGTAAAGGAAATTGATAGTGTTGATGCATCATCTTTTTCATACTTAACGGTGAGAATAGTAGGACTAGGAGACACAAATATAAATTTTGGCAGGGTAGGAGTCATCATCAGCTAAGACAGTTTCATTTTTCCAACAAGGTGGTTGACCTCTGGAATAGGTTGCCTTCAGATGTTGTGGAGGCAGTAAATTTACGTGAGTTTAAGAGAAAGCTTGATAAATACGAATGATAAAGGCTGGCTTTAAGATTTTCTTTATTTTTATTTTACTTTACATATTTAATAGTTTTAGTTTAGTTTTGAGGATAGGGCAGCCGAGATGGACCAATAGGTCCTTTCCTGTCCCTAAACATTATGTTACTTTATATTTTAGATCCAGAACACTAGCCATGAGATAAATCATGTTACTGTAGGACTGACTGTTTTCACAAACAAAATCAGTGTGTGAAATTATTTGCAACTTCAGAGAGATGATGTCGAGACCAGGACTGAGACTGATTTCTGTCAAATATTATGTATTGTACTCTCCTATAAGATATATGTTACATATCTACAAACTTTTAGAATTTTTCTGAATTCTGGTTTAAAATATCCTAAATCTGGTTGAGGTCATGAGCTTATTTTTCTTTTTTAGCATGACAGGTCAAGAAACTTATATACTGTTTCATGGGATAGTTGCAATGTGTCCTACCTAATCTTCTGTATAAAGGACTACCTTGCAACTGTCATAGGAACAGAAATATTTCAGAATTCTATTTCTCATATTTTAATTGGTCAACTACAGAGAGAATGTATATTGGGAATGCCATTTTGGCAGTTTCACGAGAGATTAGCTTCCGAGGAAAGCAGTTTATTTTTTAAGAGACCAAAGTACTACTGTGAAAGTCCCATTTTTGTTTCACCCTATTTCTACCTTATGATTTATGTGTTGCAGTTTTACCTCTTTTCATTTATTTATATTTTCTTCTTTTATTTTGCAATAATCCTTCTGCTCCACTGATCACATTTACTTGTTTCTTCTTTGCAACAAAATAGCCTTTTATTTTTATCTTGACTTCAACACTTGTGCTCTATTTCTTTCATTTCACTTGTGCCATCTCTCTACTCCTATCTTTTTGCATATTAAACCCACAGCTTCTCATTTTTGAGGAGATTGAATGACTGTGAACTACGTTTGTTTTTGAATTGTTACACTAACTAATTAACATTGAAATTGTAAAATATTACTCTTCACTGGGTATTAAAATCATTTTCTGCGAGTAATCTGTTAAAATAATAACTGTTTAACATAGAATATTTGGTTATCAATTATGCTGATGTAGCCAATATTAAGAAACAGATATTCAGAAACCAATACCATGTATGTAAGCTACAATTATATAGATATACAATGAAAAGAAACACACTCCCTATTTGCAAGCTATAGTCCACATCACAATTAAAGAGTGTTTGTGAAAAAAGATCATGCATATTGTAAAAGCAAGGTATACAATTATTCTTAAAAATGGTTTACAGCCTCATACAAAACAAGGATAGTAAATAATATATTTAAATTTCTAAATTCAGTATAATAATAATAACTTCTAATCAGAGTAGCTATGTACCCAGAATGAAACTAAAATATTGGTTTACCCATAAAACAGAAGAGGTGTATTAACAACAAGTTAATCCTCTTGATCCTGGAGTGGGTCATAAACTAAAGTATCAACAGAAGAAGACTATGTTAGTATTCAATAATAACTTCCTATCAGAGCAAGCTAGTCATCAATTTAAAGCAAGCAAGGCTTTTATTGAGATTTCACCAAATAAATACATCTTTGTTTACAAGATTGCTGTCACCATCTTCTGGTGATATACAGTTTTGTTTCTTTGCTTGCTTTTCAGTACATAGTGGAATCTGTAGTAATTGACAAATCATATTCGTTGTGCTACTAAAATAATACAATATTACTAGATGAACCTATAGTTTATATGAAAACATTAAGTTGTTAATAACATTGCTACTGAAGTATTTACTAATATACATTTCGTTTTTAGTCTTTCTAGTGATGAGAGTGACAGTGAAGGAACTATATATACATTCAGCCAAGCTGACACAGTGATTTTACGAGGTAGTAGTAGGAATGATCTCTCTGAAGTAGAGTGTGAGTGGGATCGACTTGCTAGGATCCCTAGAGGTAGGGCAATTCACTAACTGTTACCTTTATATTATTGTTATTTTTTTAAAATAATAATATTACAGAATTCTCGAATATAAATTCAAATGAGTTGATATAGAAGATATTACAAAAACATATGACTCACTTTCTGACTGTAGAAATGGTAAGCACCACTTCTTTCCTTTACAAGTTTTAGAGTAGTGCTGTTATTTAAAATAACAGTATAACATGTAAAGTTTTATTTAGGAGTGTACTCATTATTTGGCACATTTTGCAAATATACACAAATGTAACTACAGACGTTCTTCATTGGTAAAATTCTTCTGTTAACTTTCAAAAGCATTCTCTGAAAGCATATTAAGTATCTTGTATTTCCATGTTAATTTTTAAAATCTGATTAAATGTTCTCTATGAACTGACTTTAGTTGTGATCCTCTTTCTCTATCAGGTTGTTGTAGTCTTCTGCACTGAATATATTTTCTAGATGATTTCATTTGGTGAGGTCTTTTTTTTTTAATAGTTTATTTCTCATAGTATTTTGTAAAATTGTTTTCATGAGTTAACTTAATAATTCGTAAAATATTTGGAATTTTGCTTTTTTATTTTTATTCAACAAATAATAAACAAATAAAAATTGAATCCTTCAAAGATTGTATAATAAAAACACTGAGAATATGCATTGCTGAAAATTTAAAATAATAAACCAAGAAAAAAATGTACAAAAGCAAGAACAAGAGCAATAACCAAAAAAACCCAAGAAGAACAAAAAAACAAACATATTTATAAATCAGTAGCATTTTTAGGTATTATTAGTACAAATATTAAGTAGTTTGTTGTACACAATAAGTAGAAAAACACCAACTTATATTTAAAAACTACAAACTGGTGGTTGATGTAAGTAATGAACATAGAGTTGTCTGAGTAGGTCATCACAAGATGACCTGATAACTGCAACCAAGAAGTTGATAAACTAAGATATTTCATCTGGGGACCAGATCCCTGAGAAAGTGGTGTTGTTGAAAACCACCTCACAATTATAAAGAGAGGCAATGATGTAAGTCAGATTGAGGGAGGGGAGTGAAATACCCTGGGTTCTGTTGGAATGGTCAAGTCACCACAACAGAGAAGGATAGGGGATTGCAGGATATGTTCCATTGATCTGCCAGAGTCCACCAAAGGGGATTTATATGTGCACAACAGAAGGATCAGGACTTTGAGGGAAGAAAGAGCCCCCATAAGTGACAGAATGTCTTGTGCAAGAAGAGAAGGAGGGTGAAGAGTCTTGGACATCAAGATCTCCATAACAGAAAGACACAAGAGAGAGGGTTTGAGCTCACTCCACAAGGGAATTGTGGAAAACTCCCAGGTGGACAAAACATTGAACGGGAGTCAAAACAGACTTGAAAAGAGAAGGGCACAGAACTGAAATACTCATCCATTGTGGACAGGAAGAAACAATGGGACATGGGACAAATGGGAATGTGCAGGAAGGCATCCAAAACATGGATTTTGGTCATCCACAGCCCAGGAAAAAGGTACCAATGCAGATTGGGAAAACCATCTATTTAGAATTGAGGAATGATGAGAAAGAGATTTAGAGATGACAGGTCAATGACAGCTCTCAATTTCCTGTCTTCTTGGGGACAACAAACAGTAATGAGTGAGGTTGAAGATGGGTTCTATAGCTTCCACTGTCTACAAAGAGGCACTGAAGATGTTGAATATGCAGAGGATTGGAGGGAAAAGAATATGGAAGAGGATGAGGAGAAAGAAGAGACGGAGAATGAAAGTGTAGGAACAGACCATGAGAAAGAATTTGCACAACCCAAGGGTTGCTGGTGAAAGGAAACCTTATGTAGATAAAGCAGGAGAGGTGGGTACCAAAAAGGGCTTAGAGTCAAGAAGCAACTTCAAAGATGAGTCACTGCCAAGAGCTGCAGTAGCCTGTCCTGCAGGAGAAGGATAATGAACATAAGCAATTGAACAAGGAACAGAGAGTGGTTGTAGCCCAATATGACACCTGAGAATAGGTAGTAGACTAAGGTGCTTGTGGTCTAATGATTTGGGAAACCAAGGAAACAATAGAAGATTGGTGGTGAGCAGCTTCAGCCTGGAATTCCAAAGAGTTGGTAAAACACCTCTAAAGGAGGAAGGTAGGCAGACACCTGAAAGGAAAGCATCCTGGCAAAAGAGGTCTGAAAAGTAAAGAAAACATGTCAAAATGGAGGCAGTAGAGGATGAAATAGAAGCCAAGGGTGCCAAACAAGTAAGAACAGGTTTCCCCTAAAAACTATTGAGGTCACAAAGGAGAACTCTTTGTGAAGGTTTGAGAGATTGCGAAGGAGTTGGATAAAGGTAAGACATAGTTGAGTAGATTGCTGAAAAGAAAAAACTTAAGAAGGAGAATGTGGAGCACCCTAAATGGAGAGAAGAAGCTCAAGACTAGAGTTCAAGAAATATAGAAGGTTTGCAACTATAGGCATTAGAAAAGGAGTTGTGAAGTCAAGTAGGAGGATGAAAACATTGATCATTAAGACTGGGAGAGAAAAGTATCAGTAAGGGCATGAATATCTGGGGTTGGGGAGGGGGGAGAAAGTCAGTAGTTAGGGGTTCATGAACTAAAGGAACCCAAGAGTCAATGTTAGATAAACTGTTTCAGTTTCAGCTTAATGTGATCATTATGATGTTTAGTTAATTTTAGAAGCAATATTTTATGGTAAGTTTGTTATATAACTGTGTATGAATCATACATTGTGTAGTTGAATTGTTATAAATTAAAGATTGTTTACAATAGTGAGATTATTCCATCATGTTGCTAGAACTTTCCGAGTTTCTTGTTGGTTTAATTGAGTTTTATTGCATCAGAATATTTAGTATTGTTTGGAATTTTCTAGAATGCATGATCATGAGTTTAGCAATAAAGAGAGTATAGTGGCAATTTTTCAAGTGAAATTATTACAGACTGTATTATAATAACAAAGTGAAGAAGAATAATTCGTCTTTGCAATTGTGTTCTAAAGTAATTATTTAAAGCTCTGGATACAACTGTGGTAATCAACAGTGTAATGAACAGTTGTATATATGTTTGATCTGGTTTTAATATGTTAGTTTAAAACAAATGGACTGTGTTGCTGTTTGTTTATAGTTGAAATTTATTGCCACCAAGTCACAGACACCTACTGTAAGGAATCCAGCCTTACAAAACCTGACACTCATTAGGATTCACTGGTGAAAGAGATAGAATGTCACATACCTGAGTAATGAGAATAACAAACAAAGAAGGAGGAGGTACATGTTCCTCATCAGGAAGAGAAGAACCAGAAAAAAGGCTGAAAGTGGAAATTGCTGATCAAAATCATACACAGTTGAGGCAAGCTTCACAAAAGGCAATGAAACAGAACTGGAAGGGAAGCAGACAGAAGAGAACCAACCAGCTGATGCACAATAGCAGTAGTGTCCTGAACAGATAATGTGTATCCAGTCGCCATTGATACAAATGTAGAAGATTTCTGTAGAGGAACATCTAGGAGTTAGGATGGGAATTCATAGTAAATCAGAAATCTACAAGTGAATTAGTTTGTTTACATTTTATGTATAAGATATTTATATATACAGTAGAAATAAGAACGAGATGACTATAGAGAAAACAAAATTGAAATCAGATCAATGGAAAGAAATTGCAACAAGGTCAAAAATAACATAAAAATAAAGAAAGAAAGAAAAGCAGTCAATCAATGTGATGAGAACTACTAAAGGCACAGGAAATAAAAATCACATCAGAACACAAGTAGTGCTAAGAAAATAATGATCTTAAGACTACTGGGTATTGCCGTGCATGGAAGTTGTTTCACCCTCCTATCGGTAGAGGGCTACAGCATTATGACAAAATCATCATAGGCTGGTGTAATACATATATAGCCACATGCAGGGATGGAAGTTGAAAGTTTTTTTTTGCATTCTGATAATTCCAGTGACATAAATAAAAATAAACATGATTTGAACAGTTGTGATGGTCCTATTAACAATATGTGATGGTTTCAAATGCTAAACTGAGGATTACTTTTGATTTTTGTGTATAGCATTAAAACTTTTTAATACATCTGAAACACTGGGCTTAGTTACTTCTGATCATTCTAGTTCAAAGTTGAGACTGTAATTCAAAGACACTGACTGGAATATAAGAGTCCACTATTTTGAATAATGTTGGTATCACAAGAACTATAACTTAGTAATAAGTCAAAATGCCTTTGCTAATGAAAAGGATTAATATTTTGTTAAACTACTACAATACCTATTAGAATACAGTAATCTTGTAAAATTGTATTCTTTATTGTTTATGCAGGTCCATTTCCTAGACGACCCCCTCCACGCATCACAACAAAGTCTGATATCATCGACTGTTAGCACCTGCAGCACGAAAACTTAGAAATCATCCTGTTTCATTGATTCACAATTTAACCTCTGTAAGCTCACAGTGTGGTAACTCAACTCAAGTGGTTTTTCTCTCACCTGTTAATTCCCAATTTGTTTTAAATCCTACAGCTTTATTTTATATATATATAATTTATGTAATCTTGTTGGTCATCAAGATACTATAGAAATATTGTATCAGTCTTAGAGAGCAAAAGTTCTCAACAACAATATTTAGTGTTATTAAGATCAACTTTCCCCAGTAATTAAGTTCTAGTCAGTCAATAACCGTCCTAACTTCCTCAGTAATATTTCATGGTTTTTATGAATGAAGTTTAGAGTAAATTTTTCTGGTAATATTTGTCAGATTACATCTAATTTATTTCCTTAATTTTGAGACTTCAAATAATACAGTAATAAATACATTTTCCTACCATAAATATTAGTCATTTAAAATAAGGATTGATTCATAATCTTTACTGTAATAACTTGTGTATTTTGAACATTTTTGTTATCAGCAATTTTGCATAGTATGTTTACAACTGCCATAATTAGGTAGTAATTAATTTTTGTTGATCACTCTTTGTTTTTTGAAAATGTTGGCAGGCTAAGCAGAACTTGAATTATTATCTTCCTATTCCATGTTTCAAGCCATAACTGATCAATACTTTGTGTTCAGATGTTGCAGTCTTTCATTGATAAACTGGAAATTAAATCAGGTGTTTTTGATTTATCAAACCATTTCTAACTATAATTTTAATTATAACAAGCAGCTCGATTTAAATAACTTCAATCATCACAAATTATATATTATAAGTGTGAGAAATACCTACTTTCAAAACAGTCATTAGTAAAAATCCAACTGCAATGTACTATCATCAGTTCCAATAAATACCAGTCATCATCAGTGCAATTTAAGTGTAAAAAAAAATTAATGAACTCCAACGATCAAAAATATATTAATAAAAAAAGACTGTCACAAATCTTTACCATAAGAGTACAAATCATTTGTCATGAATACTCAACTTTATGTAAGTGTTAACATATTATTTTGTTCCTTACTGAGTTGTGGTTATAGTCAAAGCTCAGGAATAGTTAAATTGTTTTTCACAGACATTCATAACCAATAGTTCAATTATTACATACTTATTAACTTTACATCTTCTGGCTTTTTCAGTTTTTTACAATGTCTGAATTCTTTTTCTGCTTTTTACTTACATCCATCCTAACCTGTTTTTCAAATTTTTTTTTTATAATGAAGTGAAACTACCAGTATAGCATTAGTTGTTAAAAACATTTGATTATATCATTTTAACACTATACCTATTAGTTATCCTGTCACAGTCTCTCACTTGCAGGTACATAACCTATTTGTTTACAACTTCAAGTTTCCTGTGCATTTGTCTCAGATTTTCTACCACTGAAACATTAAACCTGCATTACAAAGAAATTTATAGTTACAATAGCACATAAGCATGTGCTTCAACTAAGTTACATTTATATGGTAATAAGTTTTGAAAGATATTTGTCCAGTTTAAAAACATGTTTTTATCAAATATTGAAATCGAATAAACTAGCAAGTTGATTAGACAAATTGATTTGATGGATCGTGTAAGATAACATCCTACATGTTGAAAATAAAACAATTGAATGGAAGAAGTAAAATGCACTGAGCTGTATACAAAGTTCAATAATAGATATATGTACAACCTACATATCATATATTCAACCCTAAAAAAAGATCCCACTAGTCAGAGCAGCCTTTATTATTATTGCTATTGACAAACGCAGAGTATTACATGCTTTCAACGTGAACATCCAGTATTTCAGCTACTGCAGCCTAAACATGTCGGGTGTTATTGTGGTGTGTACTGATATTAGTAGATATTTCTTGAGATTTAATGTCTTTATGTATTAAAATATTTTCATAGTTTGATTTGTTTACTAATTAACCCTCATTAGTCAGAATAGTGAGTAGTTAGGTGACCTTGTCACAGCTGAAAAGTTAGTTGTTTGTATACCACCAAGTTCCAGTAGAGACTGGCAGTGATCACTAAGATCACTGATCATCAGAGAAGCAACATTCTAAAGTAATTTAGTTTAATGAGGTTAAGATATATACATATATAGACACAAGAGTCGAAAATCTTAATTGTTAAATACATAAATGTTATTGAATCAAATCCATAAAAATTACACTTGAATATGCCAGTACCTTAAATGTTGCAAATTCCAACTATGTTCCAAAGGGTTAAAGGTCACAACTGTCATCAATATTAATGCCTAATTGAAATCACAAGAATGTGTCATTAGCCATACCTATATTCAGTAAAAAAAAGCCAGTGGTCATACCTAACCAGTCAGAAATTTCCATTGCTAAACATATTTGTAGAATTCACCAGTCAAACCTAATTACATCTAGTTTAATCATTATGTCAGCAAGCACACCTAGTTACAGTTACAAATCAATAGCTATGTAAAGTCACATTTAGGTGAGTCATTGATCATGCTTAATTATAAGTATCTACAGTCACACCTAGTTCTAGATGTAGCTATCACTGGTTATAATAACAAGAGTCAATAGTTATATGAAGTTACAGTCATGGGAATCATGAATCATGCCCAGTTACAAGTACCTATAGTCACCAGCCACACCAAATTAAAGGTGCATTAGAATCAACAGTTGTAACTAGCTACAATAACAAAGATTCAATGGTTATATAAAGTCACAGTCATAGGTAGCATACCCAATTATTAGTACTACAGTCATCAGTCACACGTAATTCTGGGTACAAGAATTAAGAAAGAATCAATGATTATATGTATCTATAGGCACCAACCACACCTAATTATAGGTGCATTAGAATCAACAGTTGTAACTAGCTATAATAACAAAGAATCAATAATTGTATAAAATCACAGTCATGGGAATCATGCCCAATTATAAATACTACATTCTCCAGCCACACCTAGTTATAGGTGCAAGAATCAACAGTTGTTAATGAGTCATTAGTTATAACTGGTTATAATGACAAGTTGTATTTGCATAAAGTCAAAGAAGTTGCTTGTCGTACCTTATATAATTAGCATGTGTAAAGTGATCATTAGTCAGTTACAATTATCTAAAGTTTGTATTTAAGGCTTTAATTGCTGTATCCTGACATATAGTTAACTTTTCTGCTATCAATCCTCTACTAAGCATGTAAGAAATAACCAAAGTTATTGTCATGTAAAACAATACCCCAGTTGTCACACAAATCTCTTGTAAATCTGACAAAGAGTAATATTTTTAGCAATCCTCTGAATAGTATTTCTTGAAAGCTGATACCATATTTGCTAATTTGGATAATTTTATTTTTTCCCTTGATTGAAGATAAAGTTTTTGTAAAAAAAGAGGGAAGTAATTATCTCAAAATCAAAGATATCAGAGAAGTTGCAACTAAAATGGCTTAGGCATTTCTAAGGCAAACTAATAACTTGGTTATTCACAAGTGCCCAAAATATTGTATAAATATCTCACTTTTTTGTGTTACTAATTTCTGATTAGCGAATCAGCTCCTTTGATTGTTTTTAATATGACTAGGAATTACAGGTAAAAGTGAATACCAATCCATCTAGGCTTCGTGAAGTAATTGTTTTTAATATGACCAGGAATTACAGGTAAAAGCGAATACCGATCCATCTAGGCTTCGAAAAGTGATTGTTTTTAATATGACCAAGAATTACAGGTAAAAGCGAATACCGATCCATCTAGGCTTCGAAAAGTGATTGTTTTTAATATGACCAGGAATTACAGGTAAAAGCGAATACCGATCCATCTAGGCTTCGAAAAGTGATTGTTTTTAATATGACCAAGAATTACAGGTAAAAGCGAATACCGATCCATCTAGGCTTCGAAAAGTGATTGTTTTTATTATGACCAGGAATTACAGGTAAAAGCGAATACCGATCCATCTAGGCTTCGAGAAGTGATTGTTTTTAATATGACCAGGAATTACAGGTAAAAGCGAATACCAATCCATCTAGGCTTTGAGAAATGATTGTTTAGTAATGTTACTTGCTCAAGACTTGAAACATTCTTCCAGTAAATAAGGAGATAACTTTTCTAATTATTTCAAACCAAGAAAAAAAATGATCAATCAAAAACAAACAAGAAATTTAAAATGGCAGGTCTCAGTTGTTTAAATCAAGGCATGAAGAAGGGCCAAAATTTCAAGCACAGAATGACCAATTTAATTTTGTGTGTACTATTATTTTCTTTTTATATGTTATGCCAGTATAACTTGTTTATCACTGGAATGTGCCTTGATCGAGGCATCCGTGTTACCTGCCTTAACTAGATAACCTGCTGTTGCATTGTTTAATGTGAGTTGCTTGATATCATATTACAATTTCTTGTTAACAATAGTTTTTGTTACATTTCTGCATGTGTAATATATGATATTGTGGTTCATGTAATTGGTAGTTTCTAATTGTCCATATTACCACATATGTCAGCTGATGACTTGTTGTTTCATAAGTGTCTAATCTTTATGGAGTATTCTCACAGTTGATGATGTTTTGTGGCAGTTTTCTGTGTTAGTGATTTTTCTGGAGTTTACCTTAGTTGGAATACAGCACTATATAGGTGGCCATCATATTAATCTAGTGTTACTATTTTGTGTCTGTTGCTGTTAGCTTTACTGAGGAAAAAGGTGTATATCATTAGAGTTGTAAGAATCTTCAGCATAAGTCTTCATCATAGATTTGTTATAAGTATGCTGTTTTATGAAGAAACCAGGAAAAAGTGTTGGCTGACACACAAGATTATTCAGCTTTTATTGTAGCCTGCTTATTACAGATGTGTAGCTTTGATAATACTGTGTGTGTGAGTTTTCAAGCATTAAAGTACTATTCTAATTAGACCCAACGTTTATTATATTTGTTCAAAACTTGTTACTCCACTCTTGTGATGGACCAGTGTATACACAAGTTTGTTAAAATATCTGTTAGATAGTATAAGGTTTATATAGCTTGTGAAAACCTAGTTATCACCTTGAGGTTTAAATTCACAGATAAAAAAAAACAACACTGAAACTGCATAGTAATTGCACAACCTTATCCACACTTTTATTCATTAAAATGTGCCCAAAAAATTTTTAAATTTGGTTAAGTTCAGTGGGTAAGAATCAAAATCTCCATCTGTATGAGAAAGCAAGTTTACACATTTTTTTTTTTTTTGGTTCTTGCTTTTCGGATTTGAGATAAGTAAATGTTGGTTTCTTGGGTAAAGTGAGTGTGTCCACATGCAGTGGATTTGTGAATCAATTTCTCTGTACATGTCTTTTTTTCACACAGTCTGTGTTGTTGTTAAACACCTGGTGGTAATGCATTTTAACAGCTGCTGGTGTTCTACAATATTAAGGATTTTTTTTCATCATGCTTGTGTGATTTTATCAATTTTACTGCCCATTAACATAAATGTTGTGAATTATACACAGGCTCGCCAACAGGGGTGGGGTCAACTGCCCAGGGGCCCGGGCAAAGCATCTTTAGGCTATATCTTCATTTAATGATAAAAACCATAGTTTTGGGCTTTTCTTTGCATATAGACGCTTGATACATTAAGAACGACTGAAATAATAATTTGAGTAATAAATAATATGTATTTGTTACTTTATAGATTTAATAGATGTTTGTTGTTACTTTATTAATGTTTTTACACTTATACTGTGAGGTGAAAACGGCTGCTGCTATGATTTTGTCTGGTTTATGAGCTCGTTGCTGTCCTAATTTAGGATCTTCTCTTTAATAAATTCTTGAAAATGTTAAAAAAGAGAGAGAAAGGGGGCCTGGCGAGGACGTTTGTCCCAGGGCCCGTGCTGGCTCTCGTCATTCCTGATTATACACCACTAACTTGAAATCATTCATATCTGTCCAATATGTTGTCATGTGTCATATCTATCTACTCAGTGTTTTTGTTTTAAAGTCAGTTTGTTTTTCTTACCTAGTGTCTTTTTTTGTGATTCATTAAATGTACTCTTTCTTCACACCATTGTATTATTTCACTGTACCTGACTGGGTAATGTAGTATCATTAAATAATATTTAACCTGTAAATAAAGTAATTAAAAAAAATCCTTTTTAAATGTATATAAAGATCTGTGAATGAACAGGTTATTGTTAAATGCTGTTTTCATTATTTTTACCAAGGTTTGCAGGCTGGGTATGGTCTGTTGGTTTGCTTGCTGGTGTGTGAAGGAGAAAGTCCATGGTTCATGTCCTAGTGCCACAAAATCACACTCGACACTTTGATACTATAGATTCATTATAAGAGTGACTGTCAAATCCCAATAATTGATTGTAACCAAACAGTTGTTTGGGGGGGGGGGGTTGACTAACCACCTTCTTTCTAGTTTAAAATTTAAAGATAGCCCTATCGTAGTTTTGCATAGATATATGAAAAACCAAAGCTTGTTTTCTATCAAATCTGCAGCATTTTCGTTTTCTGATAAAAGAGGGAAGGATTGCCAAGAAGATTTTTTTTCTTTTTTGCCCCTCTACAATGCTAATTCAGTAATTATTAAATTGTAAACTGTTCTTTCATTATATGTATAGTGGGGAAACTTATTTTATTACAGACTGTATTATAATAACAGAGTAGAGTAGAGAAGAGTTCTAAAGTAACTGAACCAGCCTTTGTGGACTTTGACAAAAAAGAGACAATTATTTAAAGCTCTGGATATAACTGTGGTAATCAACAGTGTAATGAACAGTTATATATACATTTGATCTGTTTTTAATATATTAGTTTAAAACAAATTGACTGCATTGCTGTTTGTTTATAGCTGAAACTGAGAAGTTGCTAGTTGTTAAGATGAGAATTTAAAGGTGTTTTGTAAAGAACAGTAGAAATATAGAAAAGTGTAAAAATTTAAAATAAAAATATCTAGGG